AGAGGAATAAGGATGTTCTAAGTAAAAATAATCTAATTTCGAATTAAGTCATCCACCCTAACAATACCGTGAGACAGTCGCAGGCATGGCGTTTCACAAGGGTTCTTACTGCCTTATCAACCGATTTTCTCTCTACTAGAAAAAAATTGACTGTACTACCAGGCAAGCCCGACCGAACTCGTGCCCCCGACCCAACTTTACGAATCATGCAAGTGATCTTTTCGATGATAAGTCACCTCATAAAAGCAATTGTTTTCACAATTAGGTCCGGCTGCTTCTAAATCGGAGGCTCATCAGGACAGAGCTTCAGCATCAAAAGCTGAGCGAAGGCGGTATGTGACCTTGGTGGTGTAGTGGATTAGTATAGTGTTAGGAACTTACAGGCCTGGGTTCAATTCCCACTCAACAGGATGCCCTCTCCTGTCAACACACATTGAAAAAATATGCATCATGTACTCGGGCGGATACAGTGGTTTAAAAAATAGACCGAAACAAGTGGACCATCCTTTCTGATTCAGGACAAGTTCAATTTCACGCTAGCCGAAGTACAATTTGGATGAGGGTTCTCCGTAACCTGTCACTGTAATACACTTTTGAGTAAAGAACGGGAGCTCATCAGCTTTGCCCTTATCGAACGCACGTCCGGTGCGGTTCACTTGGAGAGGAGAAATTTTGTACAAAAGTAGTCAGAAGCGTAAATTGCACTCTGACCGCTGCGTCACTCGCCACCGACAACCTTTAAACTTCGTAGAAGGTACGGTAGAAAACCAGCTGTAGAAGTTTCACAAAAATGCTGGGTTGGGAACAAAACCTCAGCTCCACGCAAACAAACAAAACAAGGTAGCTATAGGGGCTTTTCAATGTTAACCTTCCAAGGGACCTGCATCGGCATCGCTGTGGTTTACATAGTTATTGTTCGTACTTTGGATTTGGGAAAAGTACTCAAGGACTCAAGGGATTTCTGATGTCACTTAATGCCTCCATCTCTCCCCCGAGTACCGAGCCGAGGCACTTAAGTAGTGGCGTCACTGGATAAGTCTGGTCCACAACAACGAAGCTCACCACTCGCCGTGGCCGATCAACCCATTGC